AAAATTCTGGGGGTAGAACTGGAACTGAAACTCTGACACGCGAACAAAAGGACTGCATCTCACACTGGTAATTACTGAGGTTATAAATTGGGGCACCGGAACACAAACTTTTGAAACTTTTCTCCTTCAAAAACTGGAACAGGTAGAATTAGACTGCAACAACACATTGAACTGGGACGACGCAAATATAGAAATCTACCGACCAATAAGCTTATTGTCACACCTTTACAAACTACTAACCCAAATAATAACAAATAGATTGACAGCTAAACTAGATGCATACCAACCAGTGGAGCAAGCAGGCTTTCGTAAGGGTTTTAGCACTATCGATCACTTGCAAACAATTCGGACCATTATTGAAAAAACAATAGAGTACAACATACCACTACATCTGGCATTTGTCGATTATCACAAATCATTCATCTCACCCAAGTTATTTACTTTGGCATTAGAAAATGTTTTCAAACAACTAAATTGGGCCGAAAATGGATTAAAACTAGATGGAGTATATCTTAACCATTTGCGTTTTGCAGGTGACATAGTACTAATAAGCACAGATATCCATGAACTAAAATCAATGCTACAAGATTTAAATCACAAATCGAATCAAATAGGATTAAAAATGAATCTCGACAAAACAAAGATATTAAGCAACAGCCTAGAAAACATCACGATAGATACCATCAATATAGAAAAGGGTAGAACAATATATATATATATATATATATATATATATATATATATATATATATATATATATATATATCTAGGACATGCAATTAAAAACGAACAGGAAAATCAAACCCTAGAAATTAAAAGGACACAATTATCATGGGCTGCTTTTGGTAAGTTGAGCTTCATTTTAAAAGACAGAAAAATCTTGGAAAAATATGGATTGGAAATTATGGCAATAACAAGAAAAATGGCAGAACAATGAAGAGTAACTCAACGGGCCATGTTAAATATAAGCCTCAGAGACAAAATTCCTAACACCGAAATACGTCGAAGAACTAAAGTAACCGACATCATGGGAAAAATAGCGACATTGAGATGGCAATGGGTAGCACATGTAGCAAGACAAGACACCAACAGATGGTCTCATAAAGTGACATTCTGGAGACCTCGAGAAACAAAAAGAAGCAAGGGTAGACCTAAAAAGAGACGGATAGACGATATAACTGCTGTAGCTGGAAAACAGTGGATGAGAATTGCAAAAGATAGGGAAGCGTGGAAGCAATTGGAGGAGGCCTATGTATTTCGCATAAAAAAAGTTTATCACCAGTGTGTATTCCCATATGTTCTTTTAAACAGGAATTTCGTGAAAACTTTTTGGCACAAATTTCACATGCAAAAGGGCTATCGTCAGTGTGTCGACTCATATGTTCCATTAAACTGGATCTTTGCGAAAAATTTTTGGAGCAAATTTCACATGCAAAAGGTTTATTCCCAGTGAGTATTCTCATATGTTCTGTTAGACGATCTCTTGGTGAAAATCTGTTGGAACAAATTTCACATGTAAAAGGTTTCTCACCAGTGTGACAGTGTCCCCTCTTATTTTCTGTTAAACTGGATCTATGTCAAAAACTTTTAGAGCAAATTTCACATGCAATTGGTTTATCTCCGGTATGTACTCGCATACGTTCTGTTAAATTGGATTTTTGTAAAAACTTTTGGAACAAATTTCACATGCAATGGATTTTTTCCCCAGTGTGTACTTTCATATGGTCTGTTAAACAAGATCTTCTTAAAAAACTTTTGGAGCAAATTTTACACGCAAAATGTTTATCGCCAGTGTGTATTCTCACATGTTCTGTTAAATTAGATCTTTGTGAAAAACTTTTGGAGCAAATTTCATATGCAAAAGGTTTATCCCCAGTGTGTACTCTCATATGTTTTGGTAAACTGGATCTATGTAAAAACCTTTTGGAGCAAATTTCACATGTAAAAGGTTTATCCCCAGTATGTACTCTCATATGATTTGTTAAATTGGATGTACATGAAAAACTTTTGGAGTAAATTTCACATGCATGCAAAGGTTTACCGCCAGTGTGTACTCCCATATGTTATGTTAAACTAGATCTTTTTGAAAAGCTTTTAGAGCAAATTTCACATGCAAAAGGTTTCTTACCAGTGTGTACTCTCATATGTTTTGGTAAACTGGATCTATGTAAAAACCTTTTGGAGCAAATTTCACATGTAAAAGGTTTATCCCCAGTATGTACTCTCATATGTTTTGTTAAATTGGATGTACATGAAAAACTTTTGGAGCAAATTTCACATGCAAAAGGTTTATCGCCAGTGTGTATTCTCACATGTTCTGTTAAACGAGATCTTGTTGAAAAACTTTTGGAGCAAATTTCACATGCAAAAGGTTTCTCACCAGTGTGTACTCTCATATGTTTTGTTAAACTAGATCTATTTGAAAAACTTTTGGAGCAAATTTCACATGCAAAAGGTTTATCGCCAGTGTGTATTCTCACATGTTCTGTTAAACTAGATCTTTTTGTAAAACTTTTGGAACAAATTTCACATGCAAAAGGTTTATCGCCAGTGTGTATTCTCACATGTTCTGTTAAACTAGATCTTTTTGTAAAACTTTTGGAACAAATTTCACATGGAAAAGGTTTCTCACCAGTGTGTACTCTCATATGTTTTGTTAAACTAGATCTATATAAAAAACTTTTGGAGCAAATTTCACACGCAAAAGTTTTCTCGCCAGCGTGTATTCTCACATGTTCTGTTAAACGAGATCTTGTTGAAAAACTTTTGGAGCAAATTTCACATGCAAAAGGTTTATCGCCAGTGTGTATTCTCACATGTTCTGTTAAACGAGATCTTTTTGAAAAACTTTTGGAGCATATTGCACATGCAAAAAGGTTATCCCCAGTATGTACTCTCATATGGTCTGTTAAACTGGATCTATATGAAAAACTTTTGGAGCAAATTTCACACGCAAAAGTTTTATCGCCAGTGTGTATTCTCACATGTTCTGTTAAATTAGATCTTTTTGAAAAACTTTTGGAGCAAATTTCACATGCAAAAGGTTTCTCACCCGTGTGTACTCTCATATGTTTTGTTAAACTAGATCTATATAAAAAACTTTTGGAGCAAATTTCACATGCAAAAGGTTTATCGCCAGCGTGTATTCTCACATGTTCTGTTAAACGAGATCTTGTTGAAAAACTTTTGGAGCAAATTTCACATGCAAAAGGTTTATCGCCAGTGTGTATTCTCACATGTTCTGTTAAACGAGATCTTTTTGAAAAACTTTTGGAGCAAATTTCACAAGCAAAAGGTTTATTCCCAGTGTGTATTCTCACATGTTCTGTTAAACGAGATCTTTTTGAAAAACTTTTGGAGCATATTGCACATGCAAAAGGGTTATCCCCAGTATGTATTCTCATATGTTCTGTTAAACTGGATCTATATGAAAAACTTTTGGAGCCAATTTCACACGCAAAAGGTTTATCGCCAGTGTGTATTCTCACATGTTCTGTTAAATTAGATCTTTTTGAAAAACTTTTAGAGCAAATTTCACACGCAAACGATTTATCGCCAATATGTATTCGCATATGTTCTTTTAAAATGTACCTTCGTGAAAATAATTCGGAACAAAATTCACATGGAAAAGTATTTTCTCCACTAGGTACTGTTAAAACTCTCTCTTTATTAAACTCTTTAGAACAAATTTCACACGTTAAATGTTTTTTTCCCGGACCGTTACTGTTACTGTCTGAAAAATTTTTAATGCATATTGTACACGTGAAAACTTGTTCCCCAATGTAAACTCTCGTATCTGTTTTTAAATGATTATTTGTTGAAAATTGTTTGGCGCAAATTTCAGTGGTAAAACAGTTTTTCTCAGTTTTCACATTCGTTGAGGCAGTTAAATATTGGTCCAAACTGTTATTAATTCTAACATGGTCTCTGCATGATTGGCTTGCATCAGTTTGTCTATCTTCAGTAGGAAAACCTAAAATCGTAATTATTTATTAAACGACTATTATGTACTTAAATAAAAAAATATTGTATGACCAGTTAAAAAAAATTCAGAATAGAATGACAGGGGTTATGTCTAATAGAACAAAGTATACTTATTTGACTGTAAGTATAATAATTATAAATATAATAATGACCATAACTGGAAGCAAAAGCCAGCACACGCAGGCCTTGTTCAGTGCGTTCCCGAAAGGGCCGCATGGTTTGTGCAGATTTAATTTTCGGCAATATGAGATAAAAGAAGGAGAAGACTAACTATTAAGACAATGCTCGAACTACTACTGACCATAGCGAGCAATTTAGTATATGAACAACTAAAAACGAATATGTGTCGCGATGTCGCAAAATGAATAAACTGATACAATTTCTACAAAGACAGGACTACTTGAACTTCCAACACCTTATTCTGCATTTTATTTAACATCGCCCTAAAAACAGTCATAAGAAAAACAATGGTCAGTACAAAGGGGAAAAATTATAACAAAAAGCGTATAAATACTAGCATTTGCTGACGACATTGATATCATGGCTAGAAGCAGAAAGGTTATGATAGAAGTATTAAATCTAATAGACAAGCGGCCTAAAAATTAATAAAGCCAATACAAAATAATTGAATGTTGATAGGTCAAAAGGACGTAGGCAACTACACTTCAAGACTGTAAACAATTTTACACATCTAGGCTCATTAGTCACTTCATATTACAGAAAACATCAAAAAGAAAATATACAACGCCAATAAAACTTAACAGTTAAACACAAACAATTAAAATCTGATAATATAGTAAGAACAAAATGTAAAATTTATGACACTTATGAAATAAGTCCAAACATGGATCAGAAACATCGACTCTGCTAAAAAACTATGGGAAGCTACTAGTGTCGCCAATAGCTCAATTCGGGTTTTACTATTGGATAAATTGCAATACTGTTTTTCCAATTTTTATATTAAATGTTTACAATGAATAAAAAACGGTATTACAAATGTGATTTTATTATTTTAGTTTATTGAAAGTTTATTGAAAAAAACAAAACACTTGATCATTAAGAAAAATACACCCATTGGTGTAACCGACAACTCTAATGAAAATTTCATTAGAAATGCCGATTACACCCATTGGTGTAAGTCAAATTTACCGTAATTTTGGACGATATGACAATAAAAAACAAAAAATGCAACACTTAAATCACTTAGGGAAAATGGTATGTAAAAAAAACTTGACATAAAAACCAGGTGATCCAGTGCAAGTGTTGCAAACATAAATAGTTGCTTTTTTATTTTGCCTCCTGCATACTAGGCACTCCTTCCTTAGGACTCGTTTTATCTTTTTTGAATTACTGTACTGTAATTTGCTTTAATTGTTTTCTCTATTTTTTCCAATTTGTGCTCTCCAAGGTCAATTTTATTTTTATTTTCATCACCACCCTCTGACAACATAGTCTCCAAAATTATTGGTAAGAAGACTTTCTTGACTGTTCTGAATAATTATTGTATAAAATTAGTGAATTTTCTAACAATATTTGCAGTATATGAATAAACAATTTCTCATACCAACGCAAAATTTTCCGAGAGCACGGATAATATGCGAGCATTTGGTCTTGAAGGTCAATGCCGGACATATATATTTGTTATATTCATGAATGACTCTAGGTTGTAACTTTGCTTAACCTCGTTTATTGGTGGTTTCCGTCATTGTATTACCAAATTCCGTAGTTAAGTATCATACCTCTCTTTTGTCCTTCCACTTGCCCACGTGAACTCCGTTGCCAAATACGGATTTATTCTCTCCTTTTTGTAATCTTTTTTGTACAACAGGCACTGGATTACCTTTTCTATTTCTATGTAATGTTCCTGTACAATAGGTTCCTTTTGTAAGCAGTTTTCGTCCCAAATCATAGCTATTATAAAACCTGTCCATAAATTCCCTGCTAAAGTTGTGAACCAATCGATCAGGTTGTGTCAACATGTATATTTATTACCATACTTATGACGTTTATTTTGTATATTTCTATTGCCGGAAAGTCTTCCTCTCGAAGACATCATGGATTCATATAAAGAAAGGGATTTAGCGAACTGGATCATCACTACCTGGAGTGTGAATTGATTTCATTGTGCTATTGAAATGATCCACTACAGGACGTATTTTGCGTTGTAAACAATCTTGATTATTATTAGAGAGATATTGCATAGTCACTTTTGCACTTGCTGTATTATAGCATGCGTTATTTTGACAGTAGAGCATGCGCAGATGTGATATTTGGCTTACGCTGCGTTATTGAAAGTAAGGCCTACCGTTATTAGGGGAGCCGTTACGCTTTGCGGAATTCGTTGCGCTATTTTCTTTCTTGGTCATGTTTGTTGTTTGTGTCATTTAAACCAAGTTTATTTGTAATTTTTTTTTTTCAAAATGGGTACATTAGACAATAGCAAAAGGATCAGATTGACGTCTGATGACGACTTGTGTTTGTTAAAACAAGATTTAGGTCAAAATCCATTGACCTATTGGAGAAAATTGGAGGTTAGTTCAGGAGAACATGAGGAGTTCAACAGGAAAATCCTTTATTATAAGAACTCTGAAGGATCATTTGTTTCTCGTGCTGGATATTTGGAAAAAAAACTGAAGCAGACCAGAAAAGGTTTGTTTCGTTATTACTAAAATGTTTAACAAATAAGACTTATGATAATAAATAATATGTCTCTGTTCAGAAAAAACACATTTTGAAAGAGTAGTATACAATATTGTATGATCTCTAGACTATTTTGTATTCAACAAAATATAACAATTAAAGTTTTGTTTTAGATCAGGAGTAGAAGAAATGTATAGTGAAAGGGACAGATGTTTGCAAGAAATAGCAGATATGTGTGCGGATTTAACTTTGGCACCTCCTCCGAAAAAGAGGCGAACTGTTTCTAAGGAGAAGCAAATAATTGAATTGGGTCGGAAAATGAGGGATAATCATTCCTCAGTATACCAAGCAAGTGAGACCAGAGACAAAACAGAAGTAGTTAAGGTTGATCATAGTTATGGTCATGGACGTATAAATAAAGAAGGACCGGGCTATTTACATCTGTACATGAAGCCATGAGATCGTCACAGTCATAGACACAATTGACGTTGTCATATTATTTTTTTTTCCAAGCGAATCTTCGAAATAATTTTCGATTTTTAGTATAATTTAATTTTAATTTATAATAAAAATGTATTATTTAGTTAGTATAAACTATTTTTAGATATACTCATTTCGCAACCAAGAAATTAACACGCATGCTTAAAGCATGCGATATGCTACTGCTAGGTGCTGAGAGTATTTTTTTTGTAAATCGTTATAACTGCAATTGGTTTCTTGTTGGCAGAATACATTTATAAAGTTTTTGCTAAATTTTGTATTTTTTAACGCGTGACGCTTATAGGCGTCGCCAGCACTAGATCATTAATATTTCATCCATATGCTAAGTGACTCACATGTGCGTCTTTGATTTTTAAATTGCAGAAAGTCATTATTGTCAAAAGGAACATTTACTGGAAATTTTAATAGAAAACATATTACAATAATAATATTAATAATTACAAATTATTATCATTATGATACTGTACAAAACAATTTCCAACACAAAGGCCAGGTTTTTCAGGACAGAAGCTGCACTCAAATATCGTGTCTTTTCTTAAATTACTCTTTGAACATACCTTACATCTTTTTCTCTTTATCCGACCTTTAGTATCAACATTTAAAATTTTTGAAATGTTGTGCTTGTCTGTTGTTTGTTGTTGTTTGTACACTGGAGTAACCAATACTGTTTCAGAATTTTTTAAAAGATGTCTGATAATTTCTAAACGATATTCATATAAATTCATTTTTCTACCAGTGTAGGGAGTATAACTTTTGTACAAATAATAGGAATTTAACAACAAAACTTGAAATATGTGAATACCTATTTTTTTTTATACCATCTGAGCGTCCTTCGCTCACATGAGTGGTGGTGTTGATCTTTGCGATCAACACCACTCATAAACTCATTATATTTGGATATAGGTAGGGTTTTATTTTTATTTGGTTTCTTTTGTTTTCAGTTTCGATAAGATCATTTTTTTAAAATTCCGTGGATATGTACATAACTTCTCTTTTATCTCTCCACTTTCCTACTAAAATGCCATCTTTGTATTGCCCTACTGTCTGTCCTTGTGCTAGTTTAGCTTCTAAAACTTTTTAGGGTTACCTTTTCTCTTGGAAATTAAAGTTCCTGTGCAGAAAGTATTAATTTGTAAAAGAGTTTTTGCTAAATCAACACTTCCATAAAAATTATCTATAAAAAGAGAATGCCCAACGTCAAGTTTATCTCGCATTAGTTCTAAAACTACTTTTTTAGAGTGGCCTTTTCCACCTGCAAAGTCATAACGTCCTGTATATAATTTCAACTCGTAGAGGCGACTAAGCCGTCCTGTGTGTTTAGCTCTAACTTGGGTTACCATACAATTTAAGTCCGTATTTGTTGTACTGTATTGCTTCTCATATATATTCGAAAAAATAATCTACCACGCCACAACACCATACTTTCATCAAGGGATAGATTTTTTCCTGGTTGATATATTTTAGCCATTATACTATTGAAGTAATTTAAAAGTGGTTTAATTTTATAGATTTTATCTTCTATTGTACCCTCTTCTGGATTTCGGGCAAAATGTAGACATCTCAAAATAAGCAAGTAACGATCTCGGCTTCAATTGAAAAAGAGGATCGGTATTCCAGTAGTCCTGGAATCTATTGGTTTTCCATGTTCCCATATGCAATGTAAGTCCAAAAAATGTTTTAAGTTCGTTAACACCTGTAACACCGGATAAAAATAACGATTCGGCATAAACATTTGTTTCCTGCACTATCATCTCAAAAAAATATCTTCCACAAGAAGGCAAAAAAAATCGTATGGAAGACCAGTCCCTGGAATATCTACTAATAACCCAGAAGATTTGGTAAAATTAAAATTTTGCATTCCAATAGGATCGTCTTTCCACGAATCCTCACTTAAATTATGGCTCCTCCTGTATATTTTCATTCCTATCTGCATTTCCATGTAACGCTTCAACCAATCCAGAATAATCATTTTCTTCTTTAAAATCTAAAAAAAGAAAAACAATTGTACAAGAAAATATAATGCTGCAAAATAATTCTGTTGATAAATATTCTAAAAGGTTGAAATTAGAAATAAACATTTCAAAACATGTATACAAATGAAGTTATGATATAATTTTTAATTCATTTCTCAAATCTCGTATTGGAATCATATCTGTACTCTTTATAATAAACATACCTGTGTCTTCATCTGACAGAACTACACTATTATTGGATTCACTGAATTCATCTTCACTAGATGAATTATTATTTAATATATTATATAATTGATCAGTACTATATTTTGATCTTTTACAGTTTGAATTATTTGCATTCATTTTACCACACGAATCTTCGATCTTTTACAATGTGAATTATTATTTGCATTTATTTTAACAAACGTCAATAGTTTGATAGTTTGACAACTAAAAAGCATGGCAACCTATTATGGAGGTACGGAATTCTGTAATGGGTTTTTTCTACTCGCTTACTAGTAAATTGTATATTACCTACTATTTGGATGCTAAGTAAATGCATCATAACAGATACTGACACGTAATGACTAGCACGTAATAAAAAAAATTACGCTTCAGTTTTATAAAAATGTGTAATATCACATAAGCCTTGTAAGTCAGTTGGTCGAGTTACCATGGAAACGAAATAACAGACGTTATTTTGACAGATTAAAAATTATTAATCTGTCAGTGTAAATATAGTGGTAATTTAATTTTAATTTTTATAAACGAAAATAATGGTAGAAAAAGTATAGTACACAACTTGAGTTGTAAGCTTACTACATGCTTGTAAAATTACTGCGCTCGCCGCTACGCGGCTCGCGCGCAACTTTTTTACTCGCATGTAATAAGCTTCTTACAACTCTCGTTATGTAATATACTATTAATAAATAAATAAAATAATACAATTATTGTAATAGATAGATACGGATTTCGGTTGTTGACTGTGATAATCAGCATTATCTTTTCTAATAATATAAATCCAAAATAAAAAAGCAAAAAATAGAATAAGGTTCATTTAAATTTAGAAAATATATTAATTTAATTAATTTGATATGGCAAAATAAAGATAATACAGAATCTAAATTTAAATAATTTTATGAATTAGTTTTTGTACTTGGAGAAAAGATTTTCTTTTTTGATTACCGGTGGCTTTTCTTTGTTTTTTATTTTTATAGTGTTGGTGCAAAACAGAATTATTGTGAGTCCATCTTTGGAAGCCTTACTTGCAGTGCTCATTTCTTCTCTTAGGGCGTAAGTTATGTTAGATAATGCTTTCGTCGAAATAAAAATAATCCCGACTCATCTGCGTTAAAATATCTAGCCGTGAGTATCGCTTCAATAAATTGAGCAGTTTTTCCTTTCAATCAGAAACCACTAAGTAATTTTCAGCAGCTGTTTTGTCATATACAAATTTGAAGCAACTATTTTGTCGCTTTCAAAATTTCTCAAGCCTAGAAGAACTAGAAGCCTTCATATCAATGACAATCAAATCAAACTTGAAATTTCTACTGCTTTTTTTTTAATAATTGTACCAGAAACAATATTATTTTTTAACCCTAATTTACGAAGCAAATCGAAAATAATTTGATTCAATACGGCACCCGAGAAGAAATTACCGAAACACAAGTGAAATTGAAGAAGGTTATGGAAACATTCTAAAATGAGAAAAGAAAAATATAAGTAAAATTGAAGAAGGTAATGGAAACATTCTAAAAGGAGAAAAAGAAATAATAAAGGACATAGGCAGAGTATTTGTCATGTATATAAAAATGCCGTGGCCGGTCTGCGCTTTTGTGGAGGAAGTATTCTGGATCAAAACACAGGACCAACCTGTCACTTCTGGAACAGCTTCATATAAACGATAGGCTAATAAAAAAAGTAAACCGAGAATACCTAAATTACTTCGGCCATAAGAACGGGAACTATGGAACTATTGGTAGTAGAGGAAGGTAGAAATGTTTTTGAGAACTGTTGTAATGTACAGATAGTTTTCTCTACAAATTTTTCCAAAAAGTAAACTTTTATACACAACAGTATTTATGCTAGACAATACAAAACATAGGTATCTTGAAAACTCACATGTGCGTCATCAGCATATGACTGAAGCGATATCTTGACGCTCATAGGCGTGATTAGCATGCAACGTGTTAAAAGAAAAACATTCATTTTTTAATTTATTAAAAGAAAATATATTCTGATAATGTTAACTTTATGTAAAACTTGGCATTATTAGTAATATTAATCAATCGTAGTGATTTGACGAAAAGGAATATGGCGTTGTACTGTTTACCTTTGAGTTGATAATTTCCTTTTTTGTGACATTTTAGTGAATTTGTTAATATTTTCATCCAGAACTGTCATTTCGTTCGTAAGTAAACATTGGAATTACGTCCATGAGCGTAGTACAGGTGATGTGATATTACTTAATTCTTGACATGAATTGAAATTAAATTTTGTGAAATAAAGTAAATCTTGTCGTATTATAAATACATTTATTTATTTTTTCTAATCAACACTATAATTGCTATAAATATATTAATTTCAAAGAAATATCATATGCAGGTTCCCAGTAAAGAATCAACAGCTGCTAGATATGTGGTTGTCTATGTTCGGCTTAAATAAAGAACAAGTAACCAAAACTGCTATGGTCTGTTCAGAACACTTTAGAAAGCATGATCTAATTATACAACCAAGTGGACGGGTTAATATGAGGAAAGGAACTGTTCCAATAAATATTTATCATAAATCATTAGATCTAAGGTAACTATAACGAATTCCTATGTAATTTACTATACAGAGTATAATAAATATAATGCACACGCATATCATATTAATTCAATGTTTCAGTTCTACAAACGATATGGAAAATAAAGAAACAACTTCCAGTAGTATTGATATGGATGATTTTTATGGACCGTGAAAAAGGTGAGTTTGGATCGAATTTGTTAATTAAATTTAAAAATAAATCTAAATGTGGATTTTAATTACTTATTTCATTTTAATATTAAAATTACTCACATTATTTTAGGAGTTTCATTGATATTGAAAAATGTAATATGGAGACAGACTTGGGCCTTAATGTAAAATCTAATTCTCCTAAAACGGAGGTGAAATTTGGATAAATTTTGTATACGATTATTTCAATCTTAAACCAATTTTAATATTTTTCTTTAATGTACATAAATTGATTATTCTAGATGTTTAAATGACAATGAAGAAAACAAGGAAAGTATAGATATAGAAAATGCACCTTCGAGCACCATTACAGCATCAGAAACTGAAACTGTAGAGTTGTTACTTGGTGATAATACTTTTTCATGTGTTCCACGTAATATTTATAAAAAGTGAGTTCTTAGTTTAATTTATAAAAACAAGTATTATAACTATGAAAACCTAATTATATGTTTTAGAAATAAAACCATTGAAGACATGTCTAGCAGCAATTTTTCAACACCTGAAAGGATCACAAAACATTTTAGAGTGTTAAAAAATACTGTTAAGAGTCAAAAAAGTAAAATAAAGTATTTACAACAATATGTAAGAAGAATGAAAACAAAAATTACATCCTATCTAAAATGATTAAAGATTTATGTCCGACTTATGTCCTTTATTGTTGAAATGAACATTTTATCACGAAGTCAGTTCAGCTTTTTATCTAATAAATGTACCAGTGATGCTGTTTTCTGTACTACATGAGGTCTATTAAGCACTAAACAATAATCTTTACGCTGCCACTGTTTTTTTGAGACTATGCCAAATGTTTTGATTGTGTAATTCACAACATTTTGATAAAAAAAACTAAATTTCTACGGAATTCGAGATATTTCTTTGAATTGGTTCCAATCTTGCTTGAGAAATAGGAAACAAGCAGTTAGAGCAAATAATACTGACTCTAGACAAAAAAGCATTTATGTAGAGTACCGCAATATTGAGTACTGGGTCCTCTACTTTTTCTTATATTTAGCTTTTCATGCAATTAAAACTTCTGATCAACTTAAAATAAAAACCTGGTCCGACTATAATTTACTTTCTTTTAACATGAATAAGACAGTAGCATTAAGGAGCTATTAGCTATAAAGGAGCTCTTCAACCCTTGCTTAATAACAGCCAGATCAGTATCGTTGTTTCTTTAAAATTTCATGGCATTTTTACAGACAGCAACCTTAAATGGTTCCTTTATATCGATTTGTTAAGTAAGAAACTAATCTCAGCCAGCTATGCAATACGATCTGTTTCAAAGCTGAATTTAGCATCTTCCAAAATAACATATTTTTCTTTGTTCGAGTCTCATCTTCGATATGGCCTTCCTTTTTGCGGTTCTAGTACAGCTACCCAATATAATGTTATTTTTAAATTACAAAAAAGAGCAACACGGTATCTTTTTGGCCTCAGTAAAATAATACATTTTAGAAGTTACATAAAAAATTACGGGATTTTAACTTTTTCCTCTTTGTATATTCTAGAAACTGTTTTCTTAATTGGTAAACACCTACATGTTTTTTCAGCAAGACCCAATCATGAATTGTCCACCAGAAATTCAACCTTTGATATGTATTTATCGATTTCGTCCACTGAGTTAGTAAATAAATCTATATTATAACTTCGGCAAAAAAATTATACAATTAATTCCCTTTGCAACTTAAATCTACAACTTCTTTCCTTAAGTTCTGTAAATTAACAAAAGCCTATCTATCTGAAAGACCATATTATTCAGTGGAAGAGTTTCTTAACGAGAAATTACAGTACGTTTAGGTACAAGCAACTAAAGTATTATATATTTGGGTATCAAATGCAGCAACTAAAACTTATTCGTAAACTACTTCCTAAGGTTTTATTATGCAATTTGCAATTTAGTTAGATTTTGCAATGAATTGTAAATTTTATTATCTTTTATTATATGACATTGACCATTTTTGTAATTTTAGTAAATTTTAATTGTTATTGTTTAATAGTTTTTTATTTGTACATTTTCGTGACAATAAAGCTTTCTATTTAGAACCTTCCATCCAAGGTTAATGTGTTTTACATATTTTGTCATGTTTGTTACAATAAAGCATATGTTTCTTACGTTTTAGATAACTTACTTCCAATACATATTCCGAACTTTATCTGTTTTATATACTGCTTAGTCTAACATGACTTCTAATGTTGCCAAATAACAATTAATCTGGAGTTATAAACCATAATTCACTACATTTTTTCAACGTATCACTCACTGGATAAGAGAAGAACATACTCAATACCCTGAACAGGTTAATGTTTGGGAAGAATTTTTTAAACTTTTTATTGCTTGTGTATTATTTTAGTTTAAATAAATTATTATATAAAGTACTTTGCGATTTTATTTATCCCATCTTTATTCTTTTGTGTAACTCAATTTTTATAAATATATTTATTTCTATACACTGAAAATTAAAATTATTCATCGTTCGTTGTTTCTCACTTTATCGAAATATTTTATATGTTTACGATACTAAAAATAAAAGCAATCAAACCAATAGTCATTATTTATTCAAATGAAAAAACGGTTTCAAATACCTTTCAATTATTGGAAGGTACGCCGATGACTTAAAAGGTAATGTCACAGTCTATCACCTCGCCTCTTTCCCCGCGCCTATAAACTTTTCGACTTCAAATTTAGGCGAACAGAGTGCAGGGCATGCCCAGTCCATCTTTATTTATACGTCCATGATTATGGTAAATAATATGCCTTTCTTCTTCAGAATAATATTGTTTAACATAACTATTTTTCAGTTATTTTACCAGAACATCAAGGTGAAGAGGTAATTGTAGACAATGTGGTGGCCGAAGAAGTAGAGTCAACGCAAAATTTATTTTGTGTTATATAACTTGTTTTATTATTTTAGATATTCCAAGAACTTTAGGTAACGCAGAAGAGAATAAAAAACAAATAATGGGTATGTTTATTTATCCAAAGTGTGTAATAAAATAAAGATAGGTATTTACACTTTAAATTTTTAGGACCAGTACAAAGGAGGCAAAATAAAAGTCTGTTGTTGCGTACAAATGGTTTGGACTATCTAAACAGAAAGAATGAAAAAGACTTTAATATAAGAGCCAGGGAATTGGCTTTAGAAGAAAAAAAAAACTGAATTAGAAGAACGAAGGTTAAATATAGAACAGGAAAAACTGAGATTTCAGGAAAAAAATGGGAGAATGAATTTAATGAAACAAAATTACAGAAGGAATTTGAAAGAGAAAATATGAAAGCAGACCTGGCCGAAAAAAAGAGCACTGTAGCTCTTATTGAATCACAATCAAAAATTATAGATTCGTTACTAAAAAGATTACAAAAATATGAAGATTGATGTGTTCCCTAGTTATAGATGTGTAAATTTTATAAATAAAAAGCTAAAATATTATTACATTTTTATTATTCCTCTATATGTAGGTAGTTTTCATGTTTTGGTGTTGTTTTTCTTCTACCTTTAGTTATAATTTCTCTGTTTCCAACATAATATATAATTTTAGGTATTTATAATTAAAACACAAATTAAGAATGAACTAATATAATATATAAGTAACAAACAACTAAAAAGAAAATATTGAACAAGCAAAAAATTTTAAATTTACATTGTAACTGTAAGCTATTGCATCTGTAGGTAGGACATGTTTTCTAAATTAAATTCTTCATTTTGTGGAAGTAATACATGTTCACCTACAATGTTATTTAAAATGATGAATTCTATATTATCATAATGAGCATTTGCTAAAATAAGTGCTTCTAAATCATAATCCATCTTCAAAATAATTTGCGAACAAATGAAAATAACGCAACGAAGTGTGCATAAATTTAAGCAATAGAGAGTTTTTTAGGCCCTTTATTTTTCGAAGGACGTTAAACGTAAAACGTTATACTTGTCATGCGCCTTGAATAATAAATAAGGGATAACGTTTTTACTTAAAATAGTTTTTGAATCCTTTCGGAAATTAAGCTATGACAGATTATCGTTAATTGACATTTGACGAACGTAACCTATAAAACGAAACGGCAGTCAGTTATAGGTCGATATAAATGGTATAAACAAACATGACAGTCGAAAATACCATTGCTTTTCAAAGTTTAGTTTGGTTTAAGACGAGTTATTTTTATCATTTAAAAAAGGAAATTAGCCTTAATGATATCTTTGTGTATTGTGGTGGTGAAGCAGAGGCCATTGGTTGAAGGGGAAGCAGTTTTCAAGTGATGAATTCTTAAATTTTAACTTCAGTGTTTGGAACTGACTTTTTAATAAATTATACATTTGTTGTTCACTTATTTTAACATTTAATGATCTTTATGTTTTACCTAAATAAAAACGAAGGCATTCACAAGGTAGTTTTTTTTATTAATAATAGATTATTGAAACAAAATAAATCTTTTATTTACAAAATATAGTGACCAATACAATCATTCATAAGACAACCAAATGGTTTAATTTCAGATAAATCTGGACAAAAATATATACTAGAATACATTGCTGATGTACTTGGATGATTTTTACTACAATTTTCCAACATTTCTCCCTACAACAATGTTAAATACAGTTTAAAATATTGTGAAGTAAATATCTGTATATTTCTTCTTTGGATTCTGTCCATTCCAATTTGTGTCATAGCAGGGTTATTGATTTTTGTCATTTAATTTAGTCATAATGTTGAAATTTACTAAAAAAATTTAATAATTCTATTCAAATCAACAGCTGTCTGGTTTGTTTATACCATTTATAGTAGTTTAAATTTATTCCGCCAAGGGTCAGATACTTTGTTTTCAATCGTGAATACTCTATAACCTATTTTATTTGAATAATTTGCTATAATCTAAGAAAATAGATGACGAAGACACAGAGAAGTAATATATTACAATTTGATAAGAGGCTTAATTCTTCACAATATTTTTGATCCTGTAATACCTGTTGCATCAAGACTACATTTTGTGTTGGAAACAATTGAAGAGAAAGATGCTGAACTAAATTTTCTATTTTTTTTATTCTATCATAGTTATCTTTGGTTCTGCTCTTAGACAAGGAAAGAGAGCTGCTCATATGACTCTTTTTTTGTTTTTTATGATTTATATATCTGACATTTGACAACATTACAAACACGTAATCCCTTAATAACGTTAACCTTATCTTTACCTAAATAAGGGAATACCTTATCCTCTAATAAAGTAATCCGTTATTTTTCTGTTATCTCTCTTTGCGATGTGTCAGCCGTATGTCAAAACTGTCAAAATAGCGCGGTGTAAATAGTGCAGCGCAGGCACTGTCAACTTTGCAATAACTCTCTACTATCATTTGGTGCAAAATGAAGGTATCGGATAATTATTAAAAATCTGTTTTTTGACAGGTACTTCAAAAAATTAGTTTTGAACGACCTGTGTGTGAACCAGTAGTCCGATAATTTTGGGAGCTGTATCATACCTAAGATGATATATCTTCTACCAGAAGTAGTAGCACCGGAAATTTCAACTTGCGGAGTTGTTTGATTTACTAATTCATCTGTGAAATGTTCCAATTCATAATCGTCATCAGCACACCACTCATCACTGTTGTTTGAATATTCTTCACCACTGGATTTTGCACATATATATTCATTCTTCTCTTCAGATTCTAAAATATGTCGCAATCCATTATCTTTTATTTGATAATATTTGAGAAAGCCTCAATCTCTTTTTATTTACTACAAGAAGATCTCCCTGCACTACTCATTGTCTTTACGATTTTAAATAACAATAATATAACGAAAAATGTCATCAACAACGTTATTTAAAACAATAACACTACTTAAACAGAAAAAACTGACATTTGTCTTTTTACATTATGACTTAACGCACACAAATCCGGCAGTTAGCTAGTCGTTTCTACTATTATATTATTTATCTATGGCTACTAGGTTTGTGGCAGTTAGGGCACCGAACAACGTTAGGGTGCCAGGTGCCAGAAACCAACTGACATGATATTGTTCTCTGAGTCTCTGCTGTCAGCAATCAGCATTACAGATGTTTAGTATAATATTCATTTAACATGCCTACCAAAATTTATTCTATTCAGAATATTACCGGCGTTACATTGATCGCATATGTTTACTATGACCGCGCTACACGCATAGGTGTATGTGGCAACAAAACCTTAACATACAACCATGGGTGGAGTTGGCAATGAACGTGTTAAATCTGTATAAATATAGGTGCACAACGGCCAATAATTCGTTCTGATCTGGACAGGGCTCCGCAGAACCAGCCTTATTGGCACTAGAGACCTTCTGGTTGATTTAGTTCCCAGAAACTCTGACTTTTATTCTACCTACCATTTTCCTTGTATTTTTGCAGGATTCTAAGTCCCTAACCGGAATTTTATAATATTTTTCATCGCATCTTCGGTATTTCGCATCAATGTTTGATTTTAATAAAATGGCAGTTCCACCATATTCGTCTGCCCAATCTGATCTAAAGCAATTGTAACCTTTAAAATTATAATAGTATTTTGATTTAAACCACGTTTCTGAGAGCAATGCTATGAAATATTATGTTGATATGGCAGCTACTGCTGAACGAGAGTTCCATTGCAGCAAATTTATGTTTGCGTTTATGTCTGCGAATTTGAAGACAAGGTATGGTTTACGTGATTACTAATTCCACTATTTTAGATTTTGATAGATCGAAATTGTTTGTTTGTTTTATATTACTTATAATATTGAGAACTACTTCTAAAACTAAACTTATTGTTGCATTTAATTCCTCTGATTGTAATTTTCATTCCAAATTCCAACTGAGTTTTTTTTAAATAATGTTAACTATTAAAATTCTCCCCTGAGACAAAAGAGGTGTTTGGTTGTGTATTTCTTTTCTTGAAATTTCAATGGGATCAGGGCTGGTTGGCCTGTGCCTTTTGTTTGGGTTTGAAATTGTAGGGGAAGAAAACATATAATTAGTAACATTGTTATTATAGGATTTGGGTTGTAAGTTGTGGGACTGTGAGTACTGAGGTTGAGAGGAATGATACTGTATTGTACTAGAAGGGGTAGGTCAAGATTGAAGCCGTTGGGAATAATTTGTCGAGGATATTTGAGCACTTTCTATGGCAGAGGTATTATGAGCGACTATGTTTGCGTACGTATTTCTTGTGACCTGTTTATTTGCATCACAGAAATTAATATTGCAAGAGCTCATGGTTTCTTTTACAATTTTTTGTCTTTCAAAATCTGGGCAAGCAGACAAATTAGTAGTAAGATGATTTCCTTGACAGTTAAAGCAACGTGATATGTAATCTGAACTATTAAAATCTTGTATGGTATGGGAGTCCTGACATTTACTGCATCTTGGTTTACTTCGACACTGACCTCCCAGGTGACCAAAACGGAGGCAGTTATAACATAATAATACTTTTTGGTTATACGGCTCTACTTCCTTGATAACTTTATTAATAGAAATATATTTTGGTGAGATTTGTGATTTGAAAATAACAATGCAAGACTTTGTGGGTACATATTCTACTATTTTACTTTCATCCGTAATTTTTTCTACTTTACGTTTTATTCTTTTGACATTAGATACTTCAAAAGTGCAATGTTGATCAAATTGTCTTATTCTATCTTTTATGTACGCCTCTGAAAAATCTTTTTCTATATCTCTAATAACACCTTGTCTATGAAGAATAAAAGTTATTTTTAATAAAAATGTTTTCGTTTTTATTATTTATTAGAAAGTTTGCTGATTTATAATCCTCTAACTTGATTCTAATTCTATTCCGACCTATAGAATCAATACTAATAATTTTATTGCCTATCTCCGGAAAGTTAGTCTCAACATAAATATGATACGGGCTTAAATCAGTACTTACATACAAAAACTCCTCTCTTTCATTCGATATATTATTGATGCTCATTGTTGTTGTTTGTAAATAATTTTTTGACGAAGTCGGTTTTATTAATAAATTATTTATATTACCTACTTGATGATCTTGGTTGGAGATGCTATTCTTATTAAAAAGTGTCAACTGTGCCCCTGGTGAGATATTTATACTTACACATTCACCAAAAACTATATTTTTTCGACGTATATCTGGGGGCGCTGGGTCGTCTGGAGGTTTCCCCCGACTAACTGGTCCATTTA